CTTTTTAAAGCATCCTCTGACACAGAAATTATTGGAAAGCCTCCAAGAGCAAATTGAAAAAGCAACAGCCGCCTTCATGCTGCAGGATTCCATTGTTTTAATATTGGGCCAACTATACCAAATAATACATCTACTGGAAACTCATGTTAGGGAAAAGTATGTTGGAAAGCAGCTAAGAGGTCAGCTCAAAATCAAAGTGAATGAACTTGACATATCTATGCTGCTGCGTGTCCTATTGTGTTCTTTCTCTTCTTGTCAGCTCCTATTTCCTCATTTATTTCCATTCTTCCTTTTTTTTTTTTAAAAAAAAAACAAACAAAAAAACCAACAACAACAAAAAAAAAAACAAACCACCAACATTTGTCTTGGGCTTGTGTTCTGGCTGCCATTTGTCCTGAAAAATGCCGGGGCTGATACATACCTGTGCTTGCACAGAGAAATTGTGGCCTACTGATACTTTTCAAATTGTAATCTAGCTTGAAATTCCAGGCTTGCACACAGACACAGTGCTTTTGGGGAGGTACTGCTGCTCTGGTGATGAGAAGATGAACAGCAGATAACTGGGATGATTTTATTTTCCTGCAGTGCCGTGTAATGGAGCTATGCTTCTCAGGCTGGTATTGTTTGCTGGACTTCTGAAGGTAGCTTGAAGACCAACATCATCAGGGATGGAAGAAAAAGGCAGAGTTGTTATTGCAAATGTAAATGTTTTTTTACAATGATTGCATTTAATGAAATATACAATACAGCTATTTGTTAATGGGTTTGGGTGGCATGAGAGCTAGTTCGGTCATGACAAAGTTATTAAAATTTGAAAGTTAACAGTGATTTATGGGACCTAAGGTTTGGTTATAAGCAGTTATTTATGACAGCAGCTCAGTTCATACATTGGTGAATTCATTATGCTTTATTTCTACTGATGCTAAAAAAAAAAAATATGTTGTTCTGGTATAAAATATATGCCATGAACACAAGGCACTGGAAACTACAATTCATTCCAAAATATGTTTAACAGTCATCAGTAAATAATAAACTGTAAAAGCTCAAATCCAAACAGACATATTTAGATGTTCATCTTTCACCCACGTGCCTAATTTCCACTGGAATAATGAACTAGGAATTCAGGTACTGCAATGTAGAGACTGATCAAAGAACTTTTTATTGTAGTACTGTGACTTTTTACCTCCTTCACTGATGTTTTAGGGACATCTTATTTTATTTTCATGATTATGAGTGTCCTGAAATACTGACTCTGTCCTACTCTGATGTGGATCTCTATATTGAGACTTCAGGTTTTGAGCAATTACAGCTAAACTGGGAACTTAGTCTCTGAATATCCTGTATATTCAGATTTGCTTAGGTTGGGGGGGTTAGTTTGGCTAAGTGTAGAGAGATGTTAGAGGATCAGTCATGAAATTCTCATCTGGCTCTGAAGTTCCCTGCAGTTTGGAGGGTGTTTGTATCTGGGATTGTGTTTTGTTTGGGCAGCGATCCTGCTGATCGGAATCACATAAGCTAGGCAACAGAATGGAGGCATCCAGCCAGAGCAAACTCAAAGTACACAGGGTCTGAGAACAAAACGTTTCACATGAATTAAATTGTGAGGAAATAGAAATTCTTTAAACTTGTAAGAAAACAAGGCAATGTGAGCCTCATCACACAGGCAGCTGTGTGATCAGGGCTATTGATAGGGAGTGCAAGATTTATTTATGAAATCTTCGTAGTTGTGTGTTTTTAAGAGATATGTCTCATCACGGCAGGAAGAATAATATTCTCGGAGAAACTGGTATTAGAGTGAGATGGAATAACTCTCAGTGCTTGCTTGCAAAGATCCAGTCGCATCTTTGCTGAAAGGCATTTTGACACTCAACTGATTTTGGTTTCCTCTGTACCATACACTACAGCTGGGTTAAAAAGGTTTAATCCTGAAATGTTCCGTGTCCTCATCCTGCATTTCTATCTGCAGTCCTGTGTCCCCCTTCCCTTCATCTATCCGTTTTTTCTGCATATTATAGGTTTTTCTATCAGAGCTTTACCCTTGACTCCCTTGTTAGGTTCAGCAATGGCAGGAGAAGTCCAGGAGGGTCTCTGTGCCTGGCAGCAGGGAGCATCGCTCGCAGCATGCCGGGGGCTGCCTCTCCTGGTGCTTTCCTTTCCCCAGTCTCACGCTTTGCTTGCTTTGACGCTGCCTTCTGCTCTGTGTCTGGTCATACAGATTTGAGCTTACCCTAGTAAACGCAGATGACTCTCTTCCGTGCCAAAATGCTCGCTGCCGCCCCTGTCTCTCCTCTACACTATCTGGCAAGGGGACATGAGGGGGAGAAATAGTGGCAGGCACTGGTTCAGTTTTTAATGCACAACCATGCAGAGTGGCGCGTTCCCAGATGCTTTGCCCCTGAGATCGTTAGGGGTGCCATGCCCTCAGTCTGGGTGTGCTGAGTCACGCCATGGACCTGCCCAAGCTCCTCTACTTCCAAAACGCTCCACAGGGTGCCCGCAGGCAAGTCTGTTGTCCCCTCATGCCCCTTGCCATTTCTTTGCAATTGAGAGATGTACATTCAGACATAGTTATCTGCTTTTTCACCTAAGGAGTGTCTGTTACCTGAAAGAGATTGAATGGATTTAGTTTGATAGGCTGGCGAAATATAACTCTCAACATGCTAGATGAAATAGGCTTTTAATAACCAGATTGCTGGAGCTGGATCAGTTTCAAGAAGATTACTAGGGCTGGATCTGCTTGAGTTTAGAGTCGTGACATGATCTTGGATTTGTACGTGCCAGTCAGTGTTGTGTTACAGAGCAGGCTGCTGATGGGATGATTTCTGACTTTGATATGTGCTTCCATCCTCTCCATAGAGGGTTTTATTGTAGTGTTCAGTACAATGTTTATATGAACTGCTAGTAAAGGATAAATAAATATAGCACAGTAAAGTTTAATATGGGGGAGGGAAAAGTATTTAAACTGTATTAGAAATATTTGTTTAACAAGAAATGCATCAGGTGTGACATTTATCTGTACTGGATAGCATTTGCTTTTAAACAGAACAAAGCCTTGAAATGGATTCGTTTTCATATGAACAGTATCGGAATTCTTTTCTTGCCGAAAAGCCAGGGGCTTGGGGTGGGGTGGTCCTCAGGTCACAGCTGTGCTAATGTCACTGATGGTGTAACCATATTGTTGAAGGACTACTGTGTTGTGATCTCCTCTGACCACAAGTAAGAGTGGAGTCTTGTATCTACAGACTGGATACGTTGGTAGTCAAGTTCCACTGGGGACAGGCAAAAAGGGACATTTAGACTTCCTAAAATTCTCTTGCAGTTAGTTGCATTTGGTTGTGTCTTTCCTCTACTAGGCTGCTGTGTCTTGCTGTGGGATGCTGTTGAAAAGTTTTGGTTTCATTCCAGAACTGTATGTATTTCAAAGGTAGAAGCAGTACTTGAACTGAATAGTAAATTATAGAGGTTATGTTTGAATTTTCCAGGGACTGATCTTTTGCTGATGGTCTAACATGGATTTCACCTGGGAATTCCTTTGTAGGTGCTGTAGCAGGATGCGTTGCACAGAGAATTGCTTCTCATTCTGGCAAACCCCTCTTTCAGAGGCTTTGAACTTCTCAAATAACTCTTTTTCACAAGTTAACACCCTGTCATTTTGGGGTTTGCACTCAAATGTGTGTCTTTGGCAAAATTTGGTCGAATACAGGTCATGGGGACCAATCTGGCCAAATACTGGTCATGATGCCAGTTTCTGCAGCCGTATGTTGGTTGTAATGCCGACATTAAAAAATAGTGGGGGCTGAGGGCCAAGGTGCTGAGGACTTTCTTATATTCATCATGTTGCAACCTGATTAGCCTGTAAACAGAGTACGAGTTGCAGTCCCTCTTTCTTGACTTTTTTTTTTTTTATATTCACATCTAATGTATAACTCTGTCTTAGATTTATTGAATCTGAATCTTTATTTCCATCATGAAAATTAAGAGATCCTCTAGGTCAGGCTTGACTGCTGAGTACTCAATATTGTGAATGGCAGTGACTCTTTAGTTAGGACCTGAAGATGAAGAGCTGTACAGAAGTGGTAAGCATTATTATTACAAATTGTCAGTCCATACTTTTCTCCTCCAAGACACGTTTAGTTGTATAGAAACACAGTTGTTTTTTCCAAGGCATTTGGCCTGAGTTGTGGAAGTCACTGTATTTTTGCTGACAAACTAAACCAAAACGCTGTTAATTTTTAGTTTTAACAGCAACAGAAATTGCGCTCGGACTAAATACATAGCACCTAAAATTTGCAAATTGAATGTTGTGAAATAGTGATTCTAGAGCTAATGCGTGACTGTTGAGCTGGTAGCAAAATACATGTTGAAAACAATTTAGAAGTTCTTGATTCTTACGTTCGGTTAACCTGTAGCTAAGAGGGTTAGTGATGACAAGGTTTTCATTGAAATAGGGAGCACTTTGAAGGTCACCAAGAAGGAAAGTATATATTGTACCTCTGCAGTGACGGTCTTGGCCTGCTAAGGGTTTGGGCTACCAGTTGTACACCCTTAAGCTTTCTTTTATGAGGGAAAGAATGCTGTCAAGACTGGTAAACTAAGCAAAGGAAATGTTGGAACTTGAATCCTTGAAAAAGCAAACCTGTGGTTTTGTATTAAGATAATTTTCTGATGTTATTAGAGGCCTTACTTAAATTTTATTTTGAATGGTTTCATGTTCAGCAAGTAGGAAAATACAATGCTGATTACAGCTCTGACCCTTTCTTTGGCAATTCAGCTATTTTGTTCGCTCAAGGAATTTTAAAACTTGCTGCCAGTTTCTTACTGATGTGTTGCTTCTTGCATTTCTTTCAAACATAAAGTCTGTATCAGTAGCACAATCTAAATGGATGCAGGACGAATGATGTGCAGTTTTGAGCTGCTGTTATATTCATGCCAGTTAAGAATATCTTCTTTTGATGATTTTAAGTATAAGAGCTACCAAATGAACCTAGTGGTTCTGGCACATGAAATGTGAATGGTATAATGTTACCTGAACCTTTATTAAGTGAATTGCCAAAGTCATGCTTTTCAAGAACTTTGTGAACTTAAAGCACTTTAAAGAAATATTCTGGGTTCACAGCAGTGGAGAGCTAATGCCTTTTCTCAAAAAATACATTGGCTACTGTTATAGGTCAGCATTTGCCAACAGTTTTCGCAGGAGATGCCAGGTTGGAGTGGAAACTAAGAAATGGGTTCAGCGAAGCACTTTATCCTGTTCTTGGCTCAAAGCACATGAATAATCCCATTGACTACCCACGTGTGCTTTACTGGGACTGCTCACACAGTGAAAGTTAGGCATGTGTTTAAATAACTTGCTTATTTGGGGGCTCACTGTGTGATGTCTCCTGGCAGGGACTTGATTTTCTTATGGCAGCCATCATATGACCCGTGTGCAGGGAACACAGCGATGTCTGCGTTAGCCATGCAGTCCAAAGAAAAAGGCTATTTCTGTGTCCACCCCCAATCCATCCTGCACTTCTCTGGCAACTGATTATCTGTTTGCTGCCAATTGTGCTCTAGTGTTTTTGGCACCCAACCATTCCAACTTGCTCCTCATACAACTATTGAATTGCCTTTGCAAGGCAGAGAGTAGTCTTTTCCTTGTTTAAGACTGTATATGTGGTGGTTAAAACATGAAAAAAAGTAGATAATTGTCATAGCTTTCCTCAGTTTGGTCAAATTGTACTCTCTCTGTCAGTAGTCCCACTGAAGTTGACAGAGATGCTAGCAGAGGAGAAGAACCATTTCAAAGATGCTAGCAGAGGAGAAAAAACATTTCAAAGGTCCAAGCTCAATACTCAGAGGGGCTAAATGGAGCTTTTTCATCTATTGAGTATCTAATGGAAGCACTGTTCTTTATTTGAGAACTTCTGTAAGTGGATCATCTTTGGAGGTGAAACTCTTTCAGCACACAGGGAGGGAGAAGTAAAATGCTAGGGTAGGATCTTCTTCCACTTGATATTTCGCAAACACTGTCTCTGGTTTGATCCAAAATTGGCCCACCAGCAAAATAGAACCACTTCAGGTTAAAAATAGATTTAGGTAAGTTTTCCACCTCTGCCTTCCTCTCCCATCTCATGCATGCCCAAGGCAGCAGAAGACCTTGGAGACAGCATTTCCCTGTGCTTGAAAAGGGGCCGGTCACAGGCGGGGAATTGCCGCGACCTGCGCACGGCATGGCTTCAGCACCCTCTCCCTTCTGCATATTTTCTCCTCCAGAAATACCATCTCTGCAGTAAGTTAGCAGACCTAGAGCCTATATATATAAAAACAAGTCAAGCTAATAGACAGAACTACAGTTGTAGTAAACAGCAATTAATTAGTGGGATCCAGCAAGCCTGGTGCTGTGGTTGGTAATCAGCGGTGCTCCTTCAAACTCAGGATCTCAGACTTTGAGCTTGCTTTACGCTTGTCATGGCCAGTTATCTGTTGTTTCACCTTTGCTAACAACTTTACCAGAGAAGCCTAGGAAACTCCAAACAAAAGCCTGTTAATTGCAACTGAAAGGCAAAAGGAAATAGGTTTAGTCAGTTTAGTAATCCTGGCTGGCAAAGAGCTCTGCTATCTTCAGAAATGTGTCAAAGAATATTCTTTAATGTACAGTCATCTTAAATGGAGTACTCTTTTGCTGGAGCTGTGTTTGGAAGAGTGAATGGGATAACATGTAATATGAGCCAGATGAAAAATAATATGAGTAGATATCTTCACTAGGATGGAAACTTGAATGCTTGCACAAACAGCACGGAGGCCCTAAACTATTCCTGTAACAGGCTGTAACTTCATGTGTGAGGTAGGGAAACAAGTACTATTTTCACAGACTATTAGTGTTTATGCCTTGAATATACTTATGAGAATGCTTAAGGTGCTGTAGATCCAGTATTGTAACAATTAGTAGACCTAAAAACTGATGAGCTAAAGATTAAACTGTTTTAGAAGTGTATTAACGGTCTTTCAGTTAGCTAATGATAAAGTATTTATGAATTAAGTGGGAAGTTTTTTTCCAAGAAGTTCTCATGTATTTTCAATGGAATGCTCAAATCCACAAAAATCCAGTATAGTATCTATATAGTTGATTCATCCCCTGTGTATAAACAGAATATTTAATGGGCACTTTCCTCACCTAAAGCACAGGACTGAAAAGCAAGGACCTGAGTTGATTTTCTAGTTCTGGTAGAGACTTGTACAGTTCTGGGAAATCACTTAGCATCTCTCTTTCTGTAAGCCAGATCCCGTAATGTTTGTCTGACTTGTGGAGGTGAAGGGAAGGCTGACAAAAGTGGTGACTGCAAAACAAGTTGAGAATCTGCCATCAAAAGACAGAAAAAATGGTTTTATTTTGATAAAAGTAATCTGGAGTGATTGCACATACGTCTGATAGCTGCAGATTAATAAGAGTCAAGTTATGAAGCTTTAATAAATGCTTATTTCTTTTCGACAGTGCTGCAGTATGTTACTAGCTGGGAATATTATATTAATTTGCTTCATATCTGCATATTTTCCCCCTTAGATACGTAGTAGCAAGCAAAAATGTTCAGTTTCTCAAATGAAGGTCAGTTCAAAGAAACATCCAAATGTTGAAAAATTTCTCTGACCCTCCCCCCCCGCCCCCCGATTCCACAAAATTGATTTGGAAATCTTTCAAGGATTGCTTTACTCACTCTAAACAATTGCTAAGAAGTTTTTCATTCAGCAACATTACTGTCCACTTGGATAGTTCTTCACCCAGGCCTGGGGAGTTATTTCTTGTCTGCTACAGCAAGTGACAAGTTTTGAATGACATCTGTTGGTTAGTACCAGTAGTGGCATTTACATTGGAGACTAGAGGAACTATTGCTTAAAAGGAAGAGAATTTAAAATTCACATGCTAAAGGCAAAGCGATGAGACATTCAGCTCAGTAGGAGTGATAAGATCTACAAAGTCCAATGGGATGTGATTTAAGTACAGAGGAAAGAAAACAAGAATGGATGAATCCATAGTTCTTTGAATGGGTCTTTGATCCCCTGTTCTTCCCTCCATATTGTCATTAATCTATGAACAGTTTTATAATATGCCTGGGAGTGATCAGAGGCTGAATTTAGACCCTTTTTGGGATATCCGTGGATTCTAGTGAATTGTCTCACTTTGTGTGTGTATATCTTTTTTAATTAAAAACAGTTTCCACATTGCTAATAGTAATAATGGATATTCACGGTTTTAAGTTATAGAACTTGTTAACTCTCCCCATGGAAACTTCCAAGACACTGAACAGCAAGTGAAACATGCAGACACGTCCAACTACTATCTCCCATTTTTCTGTGCTAGAACTGGAGATAATTGCTTTTCTTTCTCTGTTTAGCACTTTCAGACCATGTTAAAGACTAAGTTGAATGTCCTAACTCTTCGGAAAGAGCCTCTCCCGACAGTGATCTTCCACGAACCAGAAGCTATTGAGCTGTGCACCACAACTCCCCTCATGAAGACCCGGACTCACACTGGATGCAAGGTACTCGGGAGTATAAACTTAAGGAACAAGACCATTGTGGAGGTGCCCCATGTATGTGTGAGGGCTCTAAAGAGCCCAAAGTAACCAACGTTGTCATTGTTGTTGTTCTGGAACCCCCATTAACTGCTACTATTACAATAAGGTTTGCAAATCAAAAAATGATATTGAACATTTCTGACAGAAATTCTGGGCTTCAGTAAAAAAAGGTTCGGCTGCGTGGCACAATGCCGATCATGGAGAATTTCTAACAGCCTGCAATGAACATCACTTGTAAACACCGTTACTGCTTCTCTCAATGCTAGTGCTGAGATAGGAGGTAAAGGGCCAAATGCTGTGGATTTGCATTTAGCAATCTGTACTAACAGAGCTATATACCTAATGAAACAGAGTTGCAGCTTTAAATTCAAGGTTAGTTTTTTATTTTTCATTTTTATTAAAAAAAAAAAAGGGGGGGAGGAGGTGGAGACTGTTAGATCTTGATTCGCTTAGGCAACAAGATGAATTTGGCCAGTTACATCAAAGCGCAGCTTCTGAAAAAGCGCTTCTTCAAAGTTTAATGGCTTAAGAGCTTCAAGTGTGTTCTTCTGTGGTACGAAGCCATATAAAAATAGCAAACAAAACTGCTCTATTTGCATCTTCTGGTGGAGCCATTTTCCTTGGTCAGAGAGCTCGCCTAGCCTTGCAGAGCCATGGGCAGCCTTGCAAACTGAGCTGGGGAACAGTTTGGCTTGTGCTGCCAGTCAGGACTTGGTAGCCAAGTCCCCTTTGCTTGGCCCAGCTGTCAATTGTAGAGAGTATCCACTGACCCGTGAGGGTCTTAGTGAAAATGGAGAGAGAACTGGGCTTCAGTCTCCACTGCTCTGTAACTTGTCAGTTCTAGGAAGCAGTTGCCTGCTGCTACATGTACTGGATAAGGTCCAAAGTGCAACTAAATGTCCTAATCCCCTCTCCTGCCAGTGTGTCTACACACACGCGTGTGCACACACTCTTCCCTGTTGGAGGATCCGATGTGAGTGAGATGGAGTTGGAAGAAATTGCTCCCTGGTGTGTTCCCCTGCTTCTCTTGGCGTGCTGTGCAGATGGTAGGGGCTGTGGGCATGCTGTGAAGGGCTTTGCTTGGCCACTTCCAGGTCTGGCACTCCCTCAGCAAAGTTTCTTCTTGAGAAGTATAATTTTTGTTTGACTTTTTGCCTGTCACAAAAGCCAAGAAACAAAATCGCTGTTGGGTGTTGAAGCAGTGCTGCCCTGTGCTGATGCAGAAGAATGGAGGGCAAGTGACCCTAATATGCTTTGTATGGTAGCTCGTAGCATCTGCTCTTCTGTGGTGATGTCTTGTCCTTTATGTTGACATCTAATGAATTTTTAGAGAATATTAGCTATCATAAAAATGGTCTACAAAGTATCTGGCTTTCACCCCTAGTGAGAGAGGGTTCAGACATAATAATGCTTTCTAAAATCAGTTTATCTCGGTGAGTGTGTGCAGAATTTAAATGAACCTTTTCACTTAACCTACAGTCCTTCAACTGGAAAAGATGGATTGCAGAGAGATGTTGACCCCCTCGGTGAAGAGAATCTCATTCTATATTTAGAGATCTCTTTTATTTATTCATTTATTTTTCCTGCAATGTAACATAGTAGTGGTGACTAGGGAACATCTGCTGCCACAACGCTCCCCTTTTCTTGCTTGCACTGTTTCTCCTTCTCTCCTTCCCCCTGTAGCTAGTTCACCTCCTGCCAGTGCTGGAATCTTACAGTGGTGTGTTTTGGGGTGGTGGCCAGCCCATCTTCAGGAGATTCAGGAGTTGTGATTTCCAGTACCCACCTTGGGAAGATGATTCCACATATGTTTTGTTCCTATGGCTAAGAAATCCACTCCAGTCAGTAACTCAAAGGCTATAATTTTACCCATTCTCTCTTTTCATGATATTTCCCCCCCCCCCCTTTTTTTTGGGGGGGGTCATTCTTTTCTTGCTGGGCTTGTATCCTCCAGCTGTTTATAGGTATTAGCCTTCCTCTCCTCTTTCCCCTCTGATTATTAGTTTCTTGCTGAGTGATACAATAAGTGTTGCCATAACAAAGCCAGTATTTTATAATCTGAATTTTCGCTCTGTGTGGTCTGATCTATCACTGTTATTCCAGGTGTAAGGGGGGAGGTGCTGTGGTGTCGCTGGTACCACCGAGCCTCTCTGGTTCTGAGACATGGGCTTTTCGGCAAGAGCACAGCATCCAGATTTTACTTTCTTTCATGAGTCACACTCTTTTGATCCTTAATCGTTTTATTCCTCTTGACTGAAATCCCTCCAATTTTTTTATGTAATCCCATTAATGAGATAGCATCGTTCTTCTGACAGAGGCTCCAGACATCTAATTTTATTGCACAGTTTTAACATAAGCCTCAGCTGGCACCATCGTGTTATGGGAACTTGACACATGCAATTGCTTTGCTGTTCAGAGGTCTGGGCATTGGTTTTCTTATGTGATTGCACTTTTCCTTGTCCTTTTTTCACAAGACAGGCTTCTCTTTCTCATTCATTTGGTGTTAGCTGCTGAATCCTGAAGAAACAAAACTCTTTTGCTGAAATCCAATCTCATTCTGTAATTGAATGGGATGGTTTTAAGAATAGCAGAGAAATGTCTTGCTTGAAGTAATCTAGGAGGAACCCCCCCAAAATCTGGGAAGTTAAATAACTGAACAAAGTCAGAGAGCTTCTCTTTCCCACACAATTCCAAATCTGATGCAACTTTGTTACCATTGTGTTTCCTAAAATATATTTTTTTACTTACAGCAGAAGCCTTAAGACTGGTTCCTCCTGTTACCGCAGGTCTACGCCTGCCTGCTCAGGCTGGCTATGCTGTCGCTGTTCCCACCATTCTCGACTCGTGGGCATGGTTTCATCAAACAGGAGAAACAGATAGTATTTGCATTGATTTGCAACACAGATCTTTAGGTGTACATGTTTTGGAGTTTGTGCTGCTGGTTGGTTGTTGAGACAGAGGTTGGCTCAGAGGCTGTAGTTTCCAAGGGGCACCTTCTTGCCCCCCTTCCCTTCTTTTCCCCACCAGTCCTGTTTGCAAATGGGGAGCGACAGCCCTGTGCCATGGGGTTGGACTGTCGCAGCCCCACTCAGTAGACAGCTTAAAACAGAGCAGGATTTCTGGGTACAGTGAAGCACTCGGACTCTTGTTTTTTCCTGAGGGTTCTTTTGATTTCCTTTGAGCCATGGTGTACGTAAGGTGAGAGGCAAGTCTTTGGCCCCAGAGGAACCACAGCTTCTTGTCCTTCTCCAGCTGAGACCGCTGGAGCAGGGCAGGGGGATGCAGTGCCCAGAGGGTTGTCATCTCTCTGGCAGCCACGGTTGAGCACCCATGTGCGTCTTGCCTTTTCCCTGCGACAGATGTAGTGTTTGTGAATGCTGGAGCATCAAGTGTTGTGTTCAGTAGCTGCTTCGAAGAATGAAAAAAACCCAGCTGTCTAATTGTATACCCGTAAATGGCAAGTCTCAGCTTAAGCTAAATGACCCTGTGCTGGGGAAGGACAAAAAAGAGTCAGAATAAGTCTTTTGTTCTTCCTAGTTGGACCACACTTTCAATCACAGGTTCCTAATTTGCTCTTATTTAAGTAGAGCATGTCTCTGTATGCAGCGTGATTTAGGCATGAACGTGATTTAGATTTGTGTATATAAAAAAGTGTCCATCCTTGTTTGGATCCTAAGGATTTGATTAGACTGTGGCTATCCTGCTTGTAGGTCTTCCGTGTCAAATGTTGTGCACTCTTGTGTTTCACCTGGAAACCTCCTCTTCCCCTATCACAGCACTAAGTACCACCAGGTGGAAGCTGAAAATCTGGAGTATCTCCAGAAAATAAGTTGCTCTCTACTCAGAAATGCGTGCTTTCTCTGTGCCTTTTAACAGATTTTGTTTAAGTTCTGTGTGTTTTATTCTTTCTTAATGTTCTAACCGGCTTACGCTGATTCTAATGTTTCTTGATTTCTGTCCCTTTGAGCTATGGTGGTGGCATGAAAGGAACTGCCTAAACAACTCTCTTCTGATGTAGATTTCCAGGCACTGCTGCAGTAATGCAAAAGGACAGAGGTTAAAAATGCTGCCTGCGATTTTTGAAGTGGTGTCATAGGTTTAATTTTTTTTTTCTTTCTATTGGAAGGCTCTTCAAAGTGAAGTCAGTGCTGAATAATCGGTAGCTTGTTCTTATCCACCTGGGTCAGGCAATCTTATTCCTCCAGTTCCCAGCAGTGAACAAGCTTTTTGCAGCAGCCTGGGAGGCTGAGATGAGAGGAGCATAAAGAGTGCAAATAATTGCATTCTTAAGAGCATGCTTTTATTAAATGGGAAAATATATATTAATGATATAGTGTTTGCAGGTGTGATACTTGTTGCTTGCCTGTTATATTGGATTGAGTTTATTAATTCAGGCTTTGTAAAAGGTATGATGTTGAAATTTCTATGATGGTGTATTTTAGTTGAAGATTGACAGAAGTCTGGTTTAGCAGTTTGTACAAATGGCATTAGAGTGGTACTGGCATTTTAAAATCAAGTCTTGCACGTATTGATAGAGATTTAAAAAGTAGCCAAGAAGTCATATAAATAAATGGAGCTTGGTCTTTCAGAATAGCTGAATTGCTTCACTCACAAAGCAAAAAGAAAATGTTTTTTGTACTAAGCTTGCTGCCGGGTGGTGATTATGGTGTGGTTTATTCGAGGTCTGTGTAGCAGGAAGGGGCCATGGCCATGGCTGGGCCTCCCTTGCTCAGTGTGATGTTGGCAGGTACCCACCGAGCTCGACTGTTGTGACCCTGAGACACACCTGATGTTGTTACATCCATTGACTGGGTCTCAGGTGTCTTCCGTGAGAGCAGGGCAGTGCCTGAGGGGCCTCGACCTGTGCGGTGCCAATGGCCTGGCCCTGCGTTCCTGCAACCGACCCTCCCGCTGCGGCTCCCTGCCCTCTCCCCAGGGCAGCCTGCTGCCCTGGCTGCTGCACT